ATCATCTTGTATACTATATCTTCTATACTGTATATATATATATATGTATATATGTAGTATGTATGTTAAACATATATATATATATATATACATACATACATACATATAGATAGATAGATAGATAGATAGATAGATAGATGGATAGATAGATAGATAGATAGACATGTTTTCGGGCGTTCGGGATCATGCTTCCAGGTTGAGCTGAGCCGAGAGGGGAGCGTGAGTCTCAGTGTGGCGGGAATTTCAGAATGAGGAACCCTGGTATAAACTTAGTCTAAACCAGACTTGGGGTTTAGGGTGTAGGGCTCCTCCTCGAAAATGAGTTTAGGGGTTTAGGGTTAGGGTAGCATCCTGATTCTAAGCGCCTTTCGGAACGAAGCAAACAAAGCCTTACTCTAAGATCGCAGTGTGCAAGCGTGCCTGCTCTGGCATGTAGAGGGCTTTAGGGATTGTTTCAGGCGTGTCCAGGCTTTAAGTACGGGTTTAGGGTTTAGGGAACCTTACAAGCGATCTAGCACAGAATTTTGTAGCGAGAATGCTAAGGCTAAACGCGAAATCGAGCCGCCTCAAAGCCCTTGCACAAGAGCCCTTCCCGACGAAGATAGGTAAAGCAAGACAATGTAGAAGCTTGAATGATTGGTGATACTATTCCTTGAAGTTCCCTGTCATAAACATACCAATTTATGGTCTAGAACCTCCCCTCTTCTGATTCTGAAGCCGAACCAACGGGGCTCGCTCAGGCTCTCCTGGCCACCTTCGGGACCGGCTTTTCTCCGACATGCACTCCATGGAGGAGCACACGGCCAAACAAGGGAAACTTTGTGTGTTTGGAGAGGAAGGTGTTCAGATGAGACTGTTGGGGTATTGACTTGGCCTTCAGTTTTCAAGCTTCTCACTCGTTGTGTGTGTTCGGGCTTGTGATTCTACTTCGTGTTTAGAAGGCAGGTCCTCCCGAGAGAGACAGAGAGATACAAATATATGTATATATATATATAATATAGTATACATACACCTCAAAATTCGGTGAGATACCATTTGAGAGAGGCTAGACCCTAGACCCGAAACCCTCATCAGATTCCAAGATCGGGCTCGAATCATGGGGAGTTCAGCTTCGGCTGCAGCGGCGGGCTCAGGTGGAGCTTAGCAGCTGAGTGTTGCGTACTTTGATGTCTTTGGGTTCAGAATTTAAAGACGCCCTCGACCAGAAATTCTGCAAGCTTACGCTTCTTTTGGCGCCCAAGCCACAAAACCCTCAATACCGCCCCAACGCTTGTTCTAAACGCCAAAAACCCCTTTACCCGAAACACCAATGTTATCCCGTCCCTCAACTTACAGCCAGGACAGCAACAAGAGATTTTCTAAGAGAAGCACAGGATCTGGAATGAACCTGAGCTTGTAAACGCTCAGAACTGAAGCATGCCTGAATCAGCTAAGCCCAAACAATATGCAGTCTGCTCCATGCGCGGGAGGCCCTGACTTGGGAGAAAACCCGTGAGTTCATCTTCATGAATGTGGTTGGGAGTGCAGAGGTGCCTAGGCTTCTGGGGGGCCTGAAGATTAAAGTGTATCATAAGGTTCCTTTAGGAGTGTCTACAGTTTAGAGTCCGGGGCGTGGGCCTCGATGCCAGCACGACCCAGGAAGTTTCAGAGTTCATGGGTTTTGAAGCTTTACCTGGTCGAGGGCTTAAGGTTGCACGATGAAGCTGAGCTTCAACGACCCTAACCCTAAACTCTAAACCCCGAACCAAAACCCTAAGCCCTAAACCCTAAAGCGGCTACAGCTCAAGGCCTGAACTCAGCCCGAGACTCTGCACTGAAGGCCCTCCAGGCTTCTAACTTCAGAGAGATTCTGCTTACCCATAGGCCCTGAAGTGGTTCCTTTTTGGGGTTCATGTATAGAATCCTATAAGGGAACCCCAAAAAGGAACTGAACTACTTTAGGGCCTATGGGTAGACCCCCAGGACTCCAAAGCCCAGACCCTGACACCTCCCCGGCCCAAAGCAGCACTCCGGCTCTTAGCGGTTTAGGGTTTAGGGTTTAGGGGTTTAGGGTTTAGGGTAGCAGGTACGCTGTCTCTGCCAGGTTCCAGTTCAGATACCCTGAGGGCTTCAGCAAGTAGCTTCGTAGGAGGTTCACAACCTTGGATACGTGCGTGCGAGCAGGCTTCAATAATGGTTTAGGGATTCTAGGTCACTTTTTGGAGTTGGGTAGAGCAGCTTGTAGCACTGCAACTGGAACTAAATCCTCTACCGAGCTAATTACTTGCTGTGTTGCCAACAAGAACACATGCGGAAAAGTAGCGTGTTTCAAGCTCCGCCACATCGCAAAGCTCCTTCGAGCTTTTACCCCATGAAAGCCAGTGACACGAACAAAATTCTTTGTAAACCTCAGCTCGGATGATTCTCCTCCTTCCGCTTTGATAAGCCGTCAACCTGGTATACATTACCATCAGAGATCCTCCATCTACCCTCTGTTAGACCCTAAATACTAAATACCCTTAATTTGGGACCATATACCGCTAGTTGAGGGTACTTCGAGGGTCCTGGATAACATTAAAACTACGAGCAATTCCGTGATCCTTCAGCTTCCTGGCAGGGACATGCTGGAGCACCCCTCGCAATAGCTTGCAGCATACCTGAAGGATGTGGGGAGCAGGGTAATGTAGGGGCCTTATTTCATAATTAGAAGAGGGTTTGGGCTCCTTTGTTAGTGTTATAATAATAAGGAGCCCTAACATAGTGGTAATTATTTAGACTTCTATATTACCTCATAAAGCCATAGGACATCTTCACAAAGCTCCACAGTTACCGTTCAAATTCTCGGCTTCCTGCCAAGATGTGGAAGCCTCTTCCGAAGACGCGCTGTGCTGCTCGGCGACCCCTATCATCCACAATTCGAGAATTCGAGGCAACGCCGGCTTTGCCGGATATCAGAACCCAGTCAGCGGAATTTTCTGATCCAGTGAAGCCGTGACGCCATCTAGGCACCACCATCCACATTCCAAGGAGAGTCTGGTGCAGCTCCACATACCCAAACGCCTTAACCACAACCCCCTTGTAAACGCTAAACCCGGCAACTACTGTCGTGTCGTCAAAAGCCTCTAACATCTAATAATGATAAGAACAAATAGGCATTACAATAACCACAATACTAATATTAATAACAAAGTTAATAAGTAAAAAATAATAGTAGTATTCATAGTAAGGACGTGATGAAGAGTCAGATCTCCCTGGCGATGCATTTTTCGCATGCCGCGCTGGACCAAGCAGGCAGTCGTGGGATCGCCTGGGGTTCACCCTGAGTACCCTGAGTTGAGTATTTGATAATGTTGGAGTGTTGAAGGTTTAGGTTTTAAGGTTTAGGGTTTAGGGTTAGGTTTTACACAAGACTGCTGCCAAGGGTTGTCAGGGTTTACGTCCCACGAGCAGGATTCGATCAGCGTGGGAGGTAGCAATTGGTTGCAAATTGTTGTAAGCTGATGAGGTCCTCTGATCCGCAAAGTAAACTTTTGCCCACACGCCAGTTGTAGCCTCTGCAGAGGGAGCCGGGCGCCGGGCGTTTGGACATGTTCCTTGATTAGGAGTTAGGGGTGTGGCGTCGAGGGCTCGCACATACCCGAGACGGTAAACACTAAAACGCGACCGGAACCCCTCAAGAGATACCCGGAATAGAACCCTATGGGAACCCTAAACCCTAAACCCTCAAGAGATACCCCGAATAGAGCCCTTTCGTCTCCAATAGTGAGTACACAGGGGGGTAGACGGAAGAAGTCAGTACTCACCGTAGGGCTTCGAGGCTGATAGTAGCTGAGGATAGATTTGCTGAGCTTAGTCTAGGGATCTTTACGCTTGCATACCAAATCGGGCGGTCGAAAGAAGGGCCAAGTAGGACCCTAAACCTCAAAACCCTTAACCCCAAACCCTAAGCCCCTAAATCCCTAAACCCCTAAACCCTAAACCCCTAAAAAGTAGGACTGTTTGGCTCCTCCTTGGAGAACTTGAAGGAAGCAAGACCACTTGACAGGTTAGGTTTCCTAAGCCGTAAGCCGAACAACCTTGTTTGCAGGACCCAGGGAGGACTTCGTCACGAGAGCTGCAAAGCGTTCCCGGATGTTCCCCCTGAAAATTGCGGTGCTACAGGGCTTTGTTCAGTTGTAGCCACGTCCCCATATAGTCTTTGTAGAACCTGTGCGACTCAGACTATACGCCCAAACCCTATCCTGTGTCTGCAGGCCCCTCTACTGCGGTCCTTGGAAATTCTACGGTTGGGGCTTAGATAGGGTTCGGGCCCGATGTGATCCTGCCAAGAACTGAAATCGCAGCGCGAAGACGTTTCGGGCTTCAGGGGGAGGGGATTGAGGTGTAAAAGGCTCTAGGCTAGAATCCCTTAGCCCAAGCACTACGAGCAGGAAGCCCAAATCCCAACCGATTAAACATGGACTTGCAAAAAATGCGGTGGCAGGTGTGAACATCATGCGCCGGGGGGAGATCATGACAAAAGCCGCAGATCGCTGGTGGAGTCCCGGACCCTGACTTAAGGTGCTTGCAATTAACAATCTGTTTATTTGGGTTTAAGCTTTCAGCCCTCCTGCAAAACCCTATATTTCGTTTATCCCCCCAAAGCAGCTGACGGTGAAGTTTTCAATCAAGTGGAGGGCGGCCGGACCGCCACGGGCACGGCGGTAGTATAAAAGTGCTGTTTACAATTTTCAATTTTCCACATGTTTAAGAAGGTTCGCCATTTGTGGATAGACGCGGCGGCTCGGGCCCGACGGCCACCTAGGTAGTATAACATTTGTTGAGACGTTTGAGAATCCACACGGTTAAACATCGTCACAAGCATCCTCAAGACCTGTACGTATGCTATAGCCGCTGGTCGTTGGTGATCTTTGACGAGCTGCATTTCCCTTGTCCCCCGTGACCAAACCCAAACCCCGAAGCCGCCTCCTCATGGATGTTTAGAAGCGCCTGCACGTCACAGACAAAGGAGCTGTCATGGCATGGGCACAAGCTTGCGGCTTGGCGCAGCGGGTGCTCCTACCATCGCCCATGTACACACAATGTGTAGTGAAGACAGACCTGCATTCGAGGACTACTCCATGTTGGATTTGCGGGTTAATGGTCTTGCCTATATCAGTAGCCTTGGGACTTTCTCTAGAACAGACCTGCGCTGCAGCTTCTGATCTTATAGGGCCAAGTCTTGATACTCGACGGCATGTGACTAGAGTTGGGATGGCAGAGATTCGTGCAAGGCGGCTGTGTAGGCAGGAATGACCGCGCTGTAGGTGTGTATACCTTGGGGCACAGTCTTTGTGGCAACGGCTGCTTCGCCAAACGCTTCGGGCTTGAATCCTGAGGGCTTTTGGAAGATGTAAAGGCCTCGAGACACCCCGTCCCAGCACATCTGGTTGCTAGAAATCCTCGGTTGACCATTTATAACCACCTAAATGACACACATCTTCTATCCACAGTCCGCAAGTCGAAATCAGGCTTGGTGAGAATGCGCAGTATAGGTCTCTGGGAGGTTATCCCAGCTGCCATGAGGTGTTGACATGTATTGTACCACGGACCATGCTTTTGCGCGCCAAGCCTTGTGGTTCTGAAGTTTAGGGTCTCTTGTTGTTGTTTGTGTGTGTGGATCCGTTGGCAGGTAGCTAGAGCACAGGTTGCACTACATGCTCGAGGCCTTAAACTCGAGGCCCCTCAACCTTGATGCCTAGATGCATCCAGAAGAAAAAACATCCCCGCACGGTAAAACCCGAACCCTAAACCCCTAAACCCTAAACCCTAAATCCTATAACCCCTAACCCCTAAACCCTTGAATCCAAGGCTCACCACGACATCGACGACGACAAGTGCGACAACTCCTGCGAGGCAGCGTATTGGATTTGTTGGTTCTTGGCCTCATTCCTCTGAATCGGTTTAGGGGTGAGGGTTTTAGGGTTTAGGGCCCGCAACAATCTCACCTTGAATGGGATTTGTGGCACATAGGGAAATCCGTATTTACACCGAAGACTTAACCCCTACAAGCTCGTAGGCTTCATGTTCATGGTAGTCGATGAGCTGCTAGTCCAGGAGTCGGTACACTGGGACACCGTTCTGCTGTGGTACAGCAGACAATGCTACCAACCCTGGGTCACATTAATGTAGGGGCCTAATAATTACCTATAAGGCCCTACATTAGGCCCTAGGTTCCGCACAGGCCACTAGGCCACTTTTGTATCCCGCGAGCCTGGAGTTTGCGTCTGATGGTAGCAACATGCATCGTTGAGGGTAAAGGGCCCCCCTAAACACTCCAAGATAGCCGACAGTAGGTGGTACTTGCCGACTTAGATCCGCAAGTAGGCCTTCTCGCGCTGTTGAGTCATATGTTGCCGAAGAAACCTACCTGTTCAGGGTTCCTTATGGAATATGTTTCTACAAATAGTGCCTTAAAGAGGTATGTTTTTTGGGCCACAGGTAGGGCCATAGAGTTTAGGAACATAGCTTCCCCTGCCAGTTCCAGCGTGGCGCAGCCATCGGCTGCAGCTGACTGGCGATTTGGGCCCCTCGGCCCTCGCCTGCTACAGTGGCACCCATGGGCCGCATAGTAGTTCCTTTTGGGAGTTCATATTTAGAATCCTATAAAGTAATCCCAAAAAGGAACTACTCTGGGGCCTATGGGCAGCCTTGAGCTGCTGCAATTGATTTTGTGCGGCGCAATGCTTGTATTTCAGAAGTTGCTGCACCTGTTTGGTTTGTATTTGTTGTTTTCTTTGTTTGTTGTAAACGGCCCACCGTACTAGCTGAGGGCTGTTGTCGCCTGCTCGAGCTTGTTCACATATCTTCACCCTTCCTCAGGACGGTGATGTCCCCAGTGCGCTGATCGGGTCTAGGTTGTGTAGGGTTACAAGAAGTGTTTAGATCTTTTGAGATGCCAATCCCATGATAGTAGTCTTTCAGTAAGAAAGTAAGGCAGCCCATGCGTTTTACGGTGCGGGTGCGGGTTCGGATGGCTTTGGAATCAAGCGAACAGAAGCAGTTCCCCGAAGATCCCGAAACTTATGTGTTCCAGCGTTGCAAACCATCTTCAAATCCTTGGGTGCTCTCCAAGCCGCTGACATCTGAAGCCCGCACGTTTGAGTTCCTAAGGGCGGGCGGCAACGCTACCTTTCATCTGCTATCCTCGATTGCCGCCGAGTCCGACGGGGCTTGTGCTGTGCCGGGCCGACAACGTTTCGGAAGTAGTTGGCAGTGGCAGTGATGTACTGTTGATCGAGTATGCGGACGATGAAGATAACTGTAACTATTTATGTTGAGATTGGGCGGCTGCAGATTCGGGCAAAACAGCCATGTAGATTTGGCGGGCTAGTTAGACCCCAAGTACGAGGCTCTAGGCTACATAAGCTCGAAACCCAGGATTCCAAAAAGTGCAGTTCAGACTTGCGTAAATGTCCCCAACTTCGGGGTTGTGCTTGGGCAGAAACCTCGTACTGAACCCTAACCCCTAAACCTTAAGCCGTAGCCCCCAGGATAGATGCATCTGGGTAGTTCTCTAAATTAGGGTCCCTTTTGGGGTCCCCAATAGAGTACGGCACCCATCTAAAAAGGACCCTAAAAGAGACCCTAATTTAGGGAACTACCCATATCCCTTGGGCCGTAGGAGCGGAGAGACCGTTTAGGGCTTAGGGTTAGGGTTTAGGGTTTAGGGTGCCTTGAATCACCCGGAGACTGAAGTTAAAGTAGGTTTAAACGGAAATACTTACCCCTCTTTTCCTTAGGTGCTGAGTAGGTAACCTTTAACTTTTTGGGGCTCATATAATCATACTATAATTCAAAAGGTTAACCTTTTGTGGGCTAGGGTACTCAGCCCCTGAGTTTCTGTGCTCCCTATAAAGAAACACAAAGCCATGAAGACTCCTGTTTGGTGTCTGTGGCAATGCTGGGCGGTTCAGGCCCGAAGGAGCTTGGTTCCCATATACATTGGAATTCATAGAAATATAGTTTCTTCGTATCCATCTATCTACTGTATCTATCTATAGGGAATCGGAGCCCTGTATGGAGAACGAGGAATCACAGTTGATGTTCGGAGCTCAACACCTCACCATTTTGCCGGAATCCACATGGTGATTTCCCAATAAGAGGTGGCACCGACTAGTGACTAGAGCCGCAACTGAGGTGCTGAATCAGCTGGGAAAGCTCCGCTGCTTCAGTGAGCTGAACTGTTCCTCGGACGTCACCTGCGGCAGGTGCCGTGCTTCCATGGCTCAAAGTCGGGTTTCGCCAAGCTGCACATGAGCACACAAAGATCTGGAGAGCTTGAGTCCATACCAAGCGTTTCAACTCCAATCTTCGAACGCTTATCTTGAGTAGTTATGTGTCTGAAACTGTAAGCTTTGATGTCTTGCTTGGGAAAGTGGGTATTCCAGTGTTCCAACACGGGGTGGTTGTGGAGCCAGGACCTGTGGGAGGGCATTGCCGCACATCTATTTTGCTCGGGCAGTGCTTTGGGTTTTCGGGATTGCGGTTGGGGTCAGGATACCGCCAATTCCGATGCCGCAGTCTTCCTCGTTTGTTTGGGCGCGTTGTGTTTAAAAGTTCTTTCGGCAATGCTTCGTCGCATGTTCCGGTCGACATAGACTTCTACAGCGTTAGTTTTCTGGGGTATACTATATGATGTCTCGGTAGTTAAATCGCACTTGTCAAAATTGAGATCGCTTCTGCCCCCGCCCGGCTCGGCAAACCAAGCTCTCATCTTATCCCTAAAGCATGGAAAACACCGCCTTGTGCGAGTTGCGAGTCCCGAAAGAGTTGTAAACCCAAATTGAATGGCCGTGAACCCCCAGGCTTAGGGGAATTCCGCTTATCGGGAGCTTCGGGGTTTTGCAAGTTTTTTGGGCTGCGCAGCGCCACAGTCCATAAGCAAACAAGTTATAAGCCCTTCAGACCCCCAAAGACCTTGCAGGAACACAGGTGCCCGCGTTAGCGGCCTCGTCAAAAAACCATGAACGCCTGACACCCCATGAAACCCTAGGCAAACCTAGATGAACCCCTAGCAAACTTTGTGGCAACAGCCCGAAATTCAGCGTTTAGGGTTTATGGGACTTATAATATATATATATATATATATATATTAGGGCTTAGGGGGACAACCTTGGCAGGGAGGAGATCTACTTGGAGATGCCCGGCTGGGTCTTAACTTTCAGCCGTCGGCTCGAGCAAATTCCTTTGCGGCCGTGGTTTTTGGGGCTCTGGTTCTGTGGTGAGAAGTCGGTGAGTTTGGTTATTTAATTTGGGTAGTTCCCTAAATTGGGGTCCCTCTTTAGGTCCCCACTATAGTACGGCACCCTTGTAAAAAGGACCCTAAACGGGACCCTAGTTTAGAGAATGACCCATTTGTGGTCCCCTTATCTGACCTAGTGTTCCCTAGATGTAGTATGCGTATAATCTTGCTCGAAACTCTGTTCCGAGTTTGACTATGAGAACCCAGTCTCATCTTATTTGGGATTTTAAGCCGCCCTGAACCTTAGAAGATCCCAGTTCAGATGGCACTTAAGAAAGGGACCTGCATCCTGTCAATATTTTTTGGGGGGATGTTATACTGTAGTGATCATAGACTGATCATAGACGCCCTAAGCCCTAAGGACTAGCAGGACTAGCACGCTTCTATGGGCTTCTATACGGTCTTACGAAGACTCTCCGGGGGCTCTCGAGCATACACTCCACAGAGACACCAAGTTTTCAAGTAGAACCCACGTTGCGGCCCACCGTCTACAAACAGCGCTCACTTTGGGCGATTTGGAGTCCTAGGTGTTTTTGCTTTATCAGGTTCTGTTGTACAGTACTAATAAATAATAATTTTTAATAGCACAAACCGACAGAGCTATTGAAAGCATTATGGCCCACATAGGTACAGGCCATGGTTTGGGCAAGGGGCAGAGCTCGTACTTCATCGGAGAGTATTGACTCTACTAGCTACGGCAGGCTCGTGATTTGAGATTTGCGGCTGGGGTTTAGACTTTGCTGCTTGACCTGCATACCCTAGAACCCCCAAGCCCTCCACCAGGAACATCCAGAATACGACTGGCTGCAAGCCCTCGTGGCCTGCACTGCCCAACGAGACCCAGATCATGGGTGAAGCGAGGCAGCTGCTATTGCTGTTGCTATTGCTACAGCTGCCACTGCTGCTGCTTCTGCCACTATACTGCTTCTGACGTCGACGTGGTGGTGGTGGTGGTGGTGGTGGTGGTGGTGGTGGTGGTGGTGGTGGTGGTGGTGGTGGTAGCAGACCGCGCCGACGACGACGACGACGACGACGACGACGACAACAACAACAACAACAACAACAACAACTACTACTACTACTACTACTACGACGACTACTACTACTACTAACTTACTACTGCTTCTGTGAGAGGTTCGGGTTGGCTGCTATGTGGATTGCATAGGCTGTGGCAGTTCACGGTTTTCTGTTGCGGGGGGCGATTGCGTAGGAGGCTACCGCGTGCGAGGCTTTGGATTGTATGTTTTTATTTTGAGTACCAGCATATGCCACTAACCCTAAATGAAGACCTCCTTGGGCTTCAGGCTGCCAGGGTTCCCAAGCGCCCTTTAAACGGGGTCTCCTGCCCTTCCTGTCTGGGTGCTTACAGGTGTTGCAGGCAGAAGAATCTATGCAGTTTTGAGGCATGAGGGTTTGTAAAGGATTTTTGTCGAAGAGCACATTCTGCTGGCAAGGCACTGCTATTGGCAATAGTAGTGATATACCCGCAATTGGTTGCTGTGAGGTGCTCCGGATGAGGGTGCCGATGAATCTGCGATTGACACAAAACATTCCAAGCTGACACAGTGTCGTTTGCCTTTCGCCCTCCTGAAAGTTGAAAGCGAGGTTCATAACTGATTCATAACCTACCTTTTTGCGTGAGGTGCCTAAGTTCATGCCTATGGGATCCTGTAGACAAGTAGGTACTTGGGCATCTAGGAACTGCCTGAAAGCTAAGACACTTTTGAACCCTCAACCCCGGGGCGATGCATGGTGCCATGAAAGCCCAATACCTATGCGGCTGATAAGAACCAACTGAATAAACCCTGTAGAACTTAAGCTCTCTATAAACCCTATAAGCCCAGACATGAGCCAAAATCATCAAGGCTCTACGCTGCTATACGCAGAGCCTTACACTCGGTCGACTCCGATCCTGAACGAAGAGCCCTTGAACCATCCCTTCGGCAACCCTTTTTATGGGACCTTCATAAAAACAAACAGCCAAGGTAACCAATACTCCGTCTTAGGGCTTCCCATTATGGGTATCCGGTATACTACTATGATTAGCGCCAAAACCTTGTTTTTGTTATTCAGGCTCTTCCTACAGTCGGCCGGCCGGTTCATGGTCTTCCTGCGGGTGAGCCCGGGGTTGGGTCCGAGCCACCGACCCCCAAACCCCAAAAACCTCATGCCTGGCCTGGCCTGTCCGAGAGAGAGCGCCGAAACCCTAAAGCCTAGAACTGCGCGCTGAAGGCTTAAGACTACGAAGTCGAGGGTTGTAGTGGTGTCGGGCTAGCGCTGTAAACTTCCGGCGTCTTAAGGTGGACGGGCTTGGCGTGGAGGTAACGTAGGGGCTTTGATAATTAGGATAGAGTTTTGGGGGTTCCTTATTATAATTATAGTATAATATACTCCAAACCCTATTCTACTT